CTTGACGAGTTTTTTGCCTCAGTCTTCACAGGCAAGTGCTCCAGCCACACTGCTCAAGTCACAGACTTGGCAAAGGCAGGGACTGGGAGAATGAAGAACTGCCCACTGTAGGACAAGATCAGGTTCAAGACCATCTAAGCAAGCTGAAGGTGCGCAAGTCCATGCGACCTGATGAGATGCATCCACGGGTCCTGAGGGAAGTGGCAGATGAAGGCGCTAAGCTACTGCCCATCATATCTGAGAAGTCGGGGCAGTCCGCTGAAGCTCCCACTGACTGGAAAAGTGGAAACAAAACCCCCATGTTTATAAAGGGAAAAAAGGAAAACCTGGGGAACTACAGGCCAGTCAGTCTCACCTCTGTCTGGCAAGATCATGGAGCAGATCCTCCTGAAAACTACGCTAAGGCACATGGAAAATAAGGAGGTGATTGGTGACAGGCAACATGGCTTCACTAAGGGCAAATTGTGCTTGACAGATCTGGTGGCCTTCTACAATGGGGTTACTGCATTGGTGGATAAGGCAAGAGCAATGGCTGTCATGTACCTGGCCTTGAGCAAAGCATGTGACACTGTCCCGCACGACATCCTTGTCTCTAAATTGGAGAGACGTGGATCTGATGGATGGACCACTCAGTGGATAAGCAAATGGCTGGATGGTTGCACTCAGAGTTGTGGCCAATGACTTGATGTCCAAGTGGAGACCAATGATGAGTGGCATTCCTCAGGGATCAGTATTGGGACTGGTGCTGTTTGACATCTTTGTTGGTGACACGGACAGTGGGACTGAGTGCACCCTTGGCAAGTTTGCCAACACCACCAACCTATGCGGTGTGCAGTCGACACGCTGGAGGGGAGGGATGCCATCCAGAGGGACCCTGACAGGCTTGAAAGGTGGGCCTGTGTGAACCTCATGACATGCAACAAGGCCAAAAAGCCAACGATATCCTGGGCAAAACGAAGCATTGCCAGCAGGTCGAAGGAGGGGATTCTGCCCTTCTGCTCCACTCTGGTGAGAGCCCACCTGGAGTCCTGCATCCAGCTCTGGAGCCCTCAGCACAGAAAGACATGGAGCTGTTGGAGCGGGGCCAGAGGAGGGCCACCAAAATGATCCGAGGGCTGGAGCACCTCTGCTGTGAGGAAAGGCTGAGAGAGTTGGGGCTGTTCAGCCTCCAGAAGAGAAAGCTCCAGGGAGACCTTACTGCAGTCTTCCAGTACTTACAGAAGACCTACAGGAAAGCTGGAGAGGGACTTTTTACAAGGGCATTTAGTGATAGGACAGGGGTAATGGCTTTAAACTAAAGGAGGGTAGATTTAGATTAGATATAAGGAAGAAATTCATTACTGTGAGGGTGGTGAGGCACTGGCACAGGTTGCCCAGAGAAACTGTGGCTGCCCCCTCCCTGGCAGTGTTCAAGGCCAGGTTGGATGGAGCTCTGAGCAACCTGGTCTGGTGGAAGGTGTCCCTGCCTATGGCAAGGGCGTTGGGACTATACGATCTTTAAGGCCACTTCCAACCAAACCATTCCATGATTTTATGATTATCTTTACAATTGTGTTTTTTTTCCCCTCCCAATACCTGTGAAGCCATGCAGTCAGAACTGCGATACCACAGTTCCCACTGAGACTTGTGGAATTCCTCATGTCACTAAAGGTTTACCGCACCTAAAACATTTGAAAGTGCTGATGAACCACCACATGCCCATTTTAAATCAATGACTTGCAAGTGCACAGAACAGAAAACAGTTACAATTTCACTTGTTTGTAATTCAGCAATTCTGCTTTAAGTAACTGAAGCTGCAGAAGTATTTCACTACATTGCCCAGTATTTTGCAGAATGGCTTCACTTAAGCCACACACTTTAAGCATTTCACAGCTGCAGTGTTTGTGCTGTCTGTGGCAGAGATCACTTCCTCTTTGATTCCCCCAAAACGTTCCCTCGCTTTTAAAATGCATAACTTAAGACAGTACATGTGTTCAGCAAGCGACATTTAAGAGTATGCTTTCTGTAGTATGCACACATGGCAGACTCCTCCAGTCTCTCCAGAAACCAGCATGCTCGTGTCTGGTTATGATTAATACTGCCTGTGAGTTATGCCACACGTTAACAATTCTGTCCTGTCCATGACTCAGTCTGCACGGCGGAGTAAGGGTGCAAAGAGCAGATGAAGCCAGCATCGGAGTTCAGCTAACAAACAGGTTAAGAAGTGCCATGGGTTTGGTTTAGAGCCAACAGCAGCACTCTGCCCTGCCACGTGGGCCAGGGCAAGGCTTAAAAAGCTGTTTTCCTCACCTTCCTGCAGCAGCTGTCTGCTTGAAGACTTCTGTACAGTTTTTACATTTTAAAAATACTTTTTACATTTTTTAAAAATACTTTTTAAAAAACCCCAATAAGACCATATTCAATGTAAAGGTTGGCATGCAGTAATGCTCTGTTAATCAGCAAGGTGAAAGCATCCTGCGCAGGAGTCATTACCCTTCTTCTGGTGCCTCTACAAAGGCCTCCCAACAGTTTCTGGATTAATAATCTTATTACAGGGCAGAAGACAGTAGAAGTCTAATCTCCACAAAGCATCTTAGTTGTACTGGGCAATAGCTCAGCCAGAGACATGACAAGAAACTGAGGTGCAGGAATAGGTGAAGAAGAATGCCTTCTCCAGCCAGGGTTCTGGTTACTCATTGACAAGTTTACCAAATAGCACACTGATCTCCAATGAAACACTTGCCGTTTAACTCTTAACATGACATTTGTTAAAGACAGCCATACCCCTCTAGTTTAAGGGAGCCAAGTAAAACCATGCTGTCATGCAGTTACTACAGAACTGGAAGAACACAAGGACAGTTTCTGTAGCAGCTCGCTGAGCCACAGCAGGTTTTATGTCATTGCTGAACCAGGACTGACACAAGCTCTGGACTGACAGCATTCCAAAGTGGCATACAGAGGATGGATTTGACTTCCACTGTCCCACCTCCTCGCCATGCAGAAGGTTGCTAAGCGTGAAGCTCACACACACACACAAAGCCCCAGGACAGGTAAGGTTCATAGCTGCCTGTTCGGGAACTCTCCATGCAAGCTCCTTTGCAGGGATTCAAAAAACCATGCGACAGGCAACTGCAGAAAGCATTATTCAACCCACATGAAGTTAGCATCTTCAAAATAAAGAATTCTTTACTTTCTTGCCAAAGGCTGCATTTTTTCAAATCCTAGTAGGTTAAACAAACAAGGACTGAAGGCCAAGCTGTTCAGCACATCTTCTATTATATAGTATTCAATTAAAGATGGCCTTGGCATTACAGCAATGGGGCGTTAGTGGGCAGGCAGCCAGGGCACACAATGGTCTTAATTAACAGACACAAGGTTTGACAACAGCAGCTCCTTTCTCTCAGCCTGTACCAGCTGAGAAGTCCTCCTGACCACCACCATTTCCCCAGGCTGAAGCAAGCAGTACTCTCCTTACATACACATGTGACAGAGGTAAAAGTTCAGGCAGATTCCAATCCCTGCCAAATGACTGTAACCCAGTCATCATAAATTATAAGCCATACACACTGCCACACACCTAGCAAGTTTTTTTCTTGTCTCTAAGGCTGTGCTTCTTGAGAGGTGGGAGTATCACATTCTCATGTTGCTCAACAAAACCATGCATGGAGAAGTTGGATCAGAAGGGTATGGCTGAACCCAACGGAGCACATCAGTACTGCGTTGCTATACAGCACTAACTGCTCCACTGCACTATGGAAATAGTGGTTTCAGAATCACAAGTGGACTGATGTCACTTTGGAGACTGCCATATTAATGAGCAGGTAAAGACAGTATTTAAAAAAAAACACAACAACAAAAAAGAAATCAGCTGACAGACAGAAAGTTGCACTATACTCTAGTCAAACCCAGGACATCATATACTTTTGTGAACTCACAGGTAAGAGAAGAGGGAGGAACTAAACAAGTCTAGCCATAAACAAACTGCAATGATAGATAAAAACTGAACATTGAGCTTCCGAAAAAGGTTTATTTTAAAATAACATTTAAGAAGACCTATGTCATACTGAAGAGCCACTCCTTTCTGTATGTGGTTGTAGAGTTTTTAGTTTAGTTACAGTCATCTGTCTGCACATTGCCAATGTTATACTATTGCCACGAGACAGCAAAAAAATTAGAAATGCAATCAAGATGAGAAAGCAAATTGAATCTGAGCTCTGTGAAGATCCTGGCATGTATGTATTATGTCAGTAATTTATATCCAGCACTACAGCTTAATTTTACAACTACATTAACAACAAAATTTCACAAAGTTGTTTAATACCTTCTCTATTACAAAGTAGCAGGGGGAGAACAACCAAATCAATCTTTCAGTGTTACAAAGCTTATCCTAGGAGTGAAGATAATTTGCCCTAGCTGACATGGAACATTGCAGAATGAAATATATTATTAGACTCCAGTTGATGCATTAGTGAACTGATCTTAGCATTTACTTCCACAGACAGATCTGTCCCCTCACTTCCCTCACTCTCCCTCCCTGCCCCTAAAAGACAGGAGAAAATGAATTTAAAAATTCAAGTTGATCTGTTGGTTTGTGCTTACTGGCCCACCCATGTCTGATCAGGGTTTAAGTTTAGGTTATTTCAGTGTTGGGTTTTTTGTTTGTTTGTTTTGAGTAGGCTTGGCGTGTTTCATTATTTTCATATGGCTTGGTATACTTTCAGTATAACTGAATTTAAAGTAGCAGCATGTTTTCCAAACCCACTTGTCACCAGGTTCATTTTAGACAAGATACACAAGCCAGCTACCATATATTTTCAGGCATATTGAACATAACTCTACTTCTTGTCCCAGTAACAGTGGCATTCCCTTAGAACTCCTACTGAGAAATCTTCAATTATCTCAGACAAACATCCTACAAAAGCAGTGTCCCTTGTGCAAAGCAGCCAAGGAAATATTTCAATTTTTGTACCAGGTAACTAACAGACATTTTGTTGCCATTTAGATGGAAAGAGCATACTTACTGCTAGGAAGAGCATGCAGTACATGGAGAACGAAGAATGGCCAGAGTAAAATGATAGTCTGGAAGAGAAGAGAGTGGACATCTCATTATTTTTCTTTTGCAGCACTCAGTCTACAATGATTCTAGTTTATCTTACACAAGTGAACTAGTAAAAAAGCAAACATCTCCATGCTTTTTATTCAAGGGGGCTATCTAGGCACAGTAGCCACCACACGTGTCTGACTACAGCTTTTGTCAAATAGGAGACTTCACTACACAGCAGCTATCATCCCAGCATTAAGCTGATCTCCACATCAGGTAGTAACCACTAGCCATTTGTCTGAAGTTTGAACAGCAAACGAACACATCTTTAACACTAGAAATCAACTGCCCTGTAAAGCAGTGTATTTGTTCCATCTTCTTGATAAATACCAGAATACTGTAAATATTCTAAATTTTGAAAATTACTTATCTGACAGTCACAGAATGTTTATGAGAACAAACGACACGTTAATCACTCCAAAACAATTATTTGCATTTGGTCACCATGAAGTAACAACTCAGATGTTTATACCACGTGTACATACGTATAGCTTTGTTAGGTGTACCAATTCATACAGAACACCATCATCTACCATTGAAGGGTGAAGGGAAAGGCAGGAAGGCAGTTCATTAACCAGCCAACCACAAAAGATGACACCTAATATTTGTAGAAATAGCTTCATGCTTGGCTATCTCATTCAAAGAGTGTCAATACTGCCTTCAACGTGTAAAGGCTTCTAGCAGGTCCAGACTGAAGTGACTCGACTGTTGATGCTGGCAGCCCAGGGTGCCTTCGGCAAGGTTCTCCCTTGCACAGGTGGGTTCTGCATGGAGCTGAGTATCACAGTTGCAAAACAAATCACACCCACCTCTTTGTCAAGAAGACAGGGCAAGCTGGAAAGACATTTCTAATTCAGTCTTAAGCAGGAGAGATGGAAGAAACTGTACTTCAGCTGTTCTTTTCTATTTTATGCACAGAGCCTTGTAGCGGTGCTGCTTCAAAGGCTATCAGCCAGGTCTCAGCCACGCTTCTGCTCAATTTAACTACATAACACAGCACTCATTGCTTAAGTTTTGCATACACAAACAGGGCCAAATTAATAAAAAGTGTTATATGAAAACACCAGCCCAAGTGGTGCAGTCGAGACACCTGAGGGGATGGGCTGCCATCCAAAGGGACCTGGACAAGCTCAAGAAGTGGGCCCATGTGAACCTCATGAGGTTCAATAAGGCCAAGTGCAGGGTCCTGCACCTGGGTTGGGGCAATCCATACAGGCTGGGGAATGAAGGGATTAAGAGCAGCCCTGCTGAGTAGGTCTTGGGGGCACTGGTGGACAAAAAGCTGGACGTAAGCCAACAATGTGCGGTCACAGCCCAGAAGGCCAACCATATCCCAGGCTACACCACAAGCAGCGTGGCCAGCAGGTCAAGGGAGGGGATTCTGCCCCTCTGCTCTGCTCTGGTGAGAGCCCACCTGGAGTCCTGCATCCAGTTCTGGAGCCCCCAGCACAGGAAAGACATGGACCTGTGAGAGCCTGGAGGAGGGCCACAAAAATGATCTGAGGGATGGAACACCTCTCCTAGGAGGAAACACTGAGAGAGTTGGGGCTGCTCAGCACGGAGAAGGCTGCGGGGAGACCTTACTGCATCCTTCCAGTACTTAAAGGGGGCCTATAGGAAAGATGGGGACAGGCTGTTTAAAAGCATTTGTAGTGACAGGAGAAGGGGTAATGGCTTTAAACTAAAAGAAGGTAGATTTAGACTAAATGCAAGGAAGAAATTTTTTACAATGAGGGTTATGAACCACTAGCACAGGTTTCCCAGAGAGGTGGCAGATGCCCCATCCCTGGAAACATTCCAGGTCAGGTTGGACGGGGCTCTCAGCAACCTGATCCAGTGGAAGATGTCCCTGATCACTACAAGCAGCTGGACTAGATGGCCTTTAAAGGTCCTGTCCAATCCAAGCCGTTCTACGATTTTATTATAGCTCTCCAGACTGCCCTCCACCTTCTCCAGCAGGTCCCTGTGTTGGTGCCTCAGCCAGGCAGACAGCCTGAGGTCAGGGAAATTCCTGACCAAGGGAAACACTTCTACTCTTTAGACAGAGTAATGAAGGCAGCTCCGATGGGCAGTAAGATAATTGGGTTAAACATTCACTACTCAAATACCACAAAGAAGGGAATAAAACAATCTTGTGCACAAACAAAATTGTAACGCTTCCTGCATTAATTTGCATGTATAGCATTACAAAACTGCAACACATAAAACCCGTAATTTTTCTCCATAGGATTTAAGAGTTCTTGGTTTATAGTTGATTGAAAGCACTGCCAAGAGCTTTCCGTTTCAGAGGTACTAAATAAGTAATCTTGAAAAGAATAAGATTACTTTTGTACATGTGTGAATATATATATACATTCACACACACACACCCACAGATATTTTTCAATTCAGTTCTTAGATAGAAAAAAATGTATTGACAATGTGTTATCTTCAGATGTTTAAACTTCAAATGCATTAAAATTACATTTTAGCTAGAAATCCCTTCTCCAGTTCAGTACTTCTCATCAGCTCAAATCTCTGGGCAAGAGTCCACTACGAAATCCAATACCATGAGCATTCTGAAGAGGTCTGTCTTTCAGACAAACATGTCATCTGAGCCACAAAAGCAAAGCATGTTGTTCCACAGAAGAGAATATACAGAATAAGGAATCCCTGGCTCCTATCTGTCCATAAGATGCAGGTTCCTACAACTCCTGAAGGCAACCTGTTGCAAACTTCAGGAATGGAGAAGGCTAGTAAGCGAGAGAAGGAATAAACACAACTCTAAATTTATTTAGGAATTCCTATACCATTTTAAATGTGTTGTTGGCTACTGGCATTTTTTATTTTAGGAATGTATTAGCCCAATGTAACATTAAGAATGGCTTGTTCCAAGTTGAAGATTACAAAATTTGAGTGCATTCTCATCAGGCATAGATAAGTATGCTGTACATGACTGAAAATGTGCTTAGCACATGAAGTATTGCCAGAAGTACAACTGGGACAAAGCATTGATCCAACTTGTACACTGTGCAATCCCAGTGAAATTTCTTTGGCAATACTGCGGTCTCTAGAGTTCTTTAAAACACAGATATATTAAAAAAACAGAAAAAAATAATCTTAAAACCCTTTCAAACACTAAGTTTGACAATGGAAAAGTTTCCCAACGATTCCTCAGCACACAAAGTAACAACTTCCCAAAGCCAGGAGAACATCCTGTCTATCAAAACAGCCAAGCAGCTGCACAGCCCAGGCTTCTCTGTGATCATACTGCAAGTCCTGGCTTGCCATGAGCCAGCATTTCAGGAATAAACAAACCTTTAACTAAAAAAGTAGTATTTACTAGTCACAAGAATGCATAAGTATTACAGGAAAACACATTTATAAATAAAACGATACAGACAACTCTCAAAACCACCACCTTTTGCTAACGAAGGAAAGGCTAAATTATCCCAGTAGGAATTTGCACATCAGATTTCAGGACATCTTTTTCGTATTAATATTAGAACAGTATCCAGTGAAACTGTAGTGTCATGAAACATAGTTGGTAAGTGCGAAGTCCATAATCTTGTTTTGATTCTTTCCAAAATAGCAGATTCTGACACCAAAAGAACAGTTTTGCAGAGATCCATGTCTTTTACTCCATCAACACGCACCTCACAGATCACTTCTGATGTGAGGAACAAGGCTTCATTTTAACAGGAAAAAAATGTAAATTTTAATTATTTCCACTACCAAGTTGGATGAATGCCTTAAGCATTCGTAACATGAAACCAATCTCAGGTCTCAGTTGAGGTCTAAAGTATATTCTCAGTTTCCAATGTATACAGTACAGCTGGACATCTCAAAAAGTTCTTAAAAACAACGTAATCTAATCTAAGGGGTACTGAGCTTTCTTGCAACTTCATTTTGCCACAAATTTCACATGGTTTATGATAAAGACAAAAGTAAACATGCCGTACTTTCTTAAAAAGGTTGCCGTGAGACGGATTACAATTAATCAACTACAGTTTGTTATTGTAAGTCTGCATTTTTAAAGATTACCTGGAGAAATAATCAAAGTACAAACAATTCCTAGAAGAAATAATTGAACTGAACCACTCAGTACTTTCAGCCAGGATTTCTAATTGCAGATAAGTAAGTCTGAAACAGATTGCCTTGCAGGTCTGGACACTGACAACCATTTAATTTTGATTCTTTTCCATGCACAAAGGCAATTTAGCCTGGGGAGCACAGCCTGCCTGATAGAAGGTACCATTTTTTCAATTAGTAGAAAACCAGAATGTAACACATAGCAAATAAAAGGATCATTTGACTTACACTGTCACTTGCAAGCAAGCGCATGTTTTAAGTAGTAAGTTCTGCTTGGCAGTATTTTCTGCCTTATTTCATAAGCGCATTACTGAATGCTGGAGCTCAGTAAACAAGCTTGATGCCTTGTCTCCAGACAATGTCTTTGTATGGACAGTTGAATGTGCAGAAACATTTAAGCAAAGTGCAGGAGTCTGACACGGAAATGAATAGCTTTAGTGAAACACAAGACTAGGAAATAGATAAATGCATACAGCACAGTGGAGCACTAAATGGTGAGAAACAAAGTGTCAGAAACGACAGCGGAAAGGGATAAACCAGAAGAAAGCTTGTCTTGTGGTGCCACAATAAACCTGGCAGAGGCTGAATGATAAGGGAATCTTCCAAATACAATTACTGAATTATACAATGATCTCTTGGGGGGGGGGGGGAGCAAACAGGAGCAAAATATTATGCACACTCCCACATCAAAGCAAATAAAACCACGCACCAGACTAGCCAGCAAGTCCTTTCTATCCTAAAGTTCCCTGGATTCTCCCAGTCTGACTCAAACCTTCCACTGACATTCATTCACGCTACCCCATTCCATTGATCTGAAGGGGACTGTCAGCCAGCCAGAGCTGCAGCTCAGCACGTCCATGCTGAGTAAGCCAGAGAGCTCCAGACACTTCACAGTAATATTCCTAGA